AACCCCCTCCCCGGCCCCCGCAGTTATTCCAGAACCTTAGGTCACCACACATTACTCTGTGCACTGCTTCCACACTGGTCTGTCTCACACAGCTGCACTATGTGACGTCTAAAACTACTGTGCTATCTAGAACATGATACCTGCTGTACTTTTTAATCCAGTCACTGTATTTAGAACACGCTGATCATCAAACTATGCCCTACACAAACATCTGGATCACTGTCAGCTCCTTGCTGGCATTAATAACACCAGGACACACCCTGTAAGTTCTTCTGTATGTTAGACTACTTCATTAGTGCGGGTTCTCAGATGGGCTAACTAAAGAGCTTTTCTTTAATGTGTGTATGTACATGTGTGGTGTGTCCAAATGTGTGTGCGCGCTCAGGGGCCAGAAGAGCATGTTGGGTGCCTGCTCTCCACCACTCTCCTTGTATTACTTTGAGGCAGGGTCTTTTCCTGAGCCTGGAGTTGTGCTGGAGGCCAGCAAGTCCCAGTGATCCTCCTGTCTCCACCACCCACAGGGCTTTTCACATGGTGCTGGGATTCGAACCCAGCTCATAGAGTCTGTGCAGCAAGCACTTCCCCTCACTGTGTCCATCTCTCTAGCCCAGAACAAACGTTCCCATAGGCTCCTGACACACACTGTTAAGACCTAAGAGAGACTGCTCTTCCAAGGCACAGTGACACCAGACCATGTTTCTGTTGCTCCTGGATCATCTTACAAACACACTATGCTCATCTGATCCGCATTCTGAAATTGCTGATAAGACAACTTATGTTCTTTTTGTTTTGTTTTGTTTTGGAGACAGGGTTTCTCTGTGTAGCTTTGCACCTTTCCTAGAACTCACTCTGTAGCCCAGGCTGGCCTCAAACTCACAGAGATCCGCCTGGCTCTGCCTCCCGAGTGCTGGGATTAAAGGCAGGCATGCGTGCACCGGCGCCGCCGCCGCCACCACCACCACCACCCAGCTGATAACTTAGTTTTAGGAGAGCATCTTCAGAGTGCATCTGCCCACTAGTTGGCATCTTACTGAGCGAATATAGGGCTCACCACCAAGTGAGCGTCCAGACATGATCCCCTTCTCCCAGAGACTCACTTGTGTCAGGGCTGTGGGCACTCACTCCTAGATCTTTGGCACAGCAATGCACACCGACCTCCCCCAGCTAACAAGCCCACTGCTTTCTCATGCTGACCCCGGTGACCCCCACCGGCATGCGGGAAGTACCCCTGGAAGACTGGGGTCTCACCTTCCAGTACACTGGCAAAGTGTGTTGTGCAAAGAGAGGACAGCTAGTTCCTCTTCCCCGGTGGGGTTTTCTTGATCCATGCCATTCTCTTCTGAAAGACAAAGACAGTGGTCTCCACTCCTGCTGTGTGGCTGAAAGGGCTGGTAAGTATACCAGCCACGTGCCCAAACATACCCACACACTCCCACGTAACAGGAGATATTCTTATGAACACACCGACTTTATTTTCAAGGGTGCACACAGGACTGATCTCCATCTGACCACTGAGGCAGCCATTACAATGTGGGCAGGATTAACTAATATACTGTCTTGCAGCCACCATGCAGTGGGGACGATCAGCTCACACACTGTCTTGCAATGTTTGAATAACAGGATGCTTGAACGGAAACATAGCTTGAGAATGAGCTCCCTGGGGCACTAACAAAATGTGAGCGAAAACAAAACTGGCATTCTGAAACAACATTCAGCTGAGCTTAATTTATGCCGTTCACAGATGAATGGACTCAACTGAAAAGCACAACCATTCATACAGCAGGGGATTCTCACAGCAGAAAGAAACTGAACTGAAAACTTTTTACAGAAGACAAACAGGAAGAGCAAGTGACCTGACTGTGATTCCGATAATGCTCTCCCAGACGTGTTTGCTTTTAACCGGGAAAGCTCAAGGCCCAGAAGCTGACCAACGGGCGCTGGGAGTTACCTGCACATGAGGTAAGTAAGATCTGTACGATGTGCGCCATGGTGACCAGATGGAAGATGTGCAGGTCTCCGGTCGCGAGGCTGCTTCCCGAGAAGTCCTGGCACTGCAGGGCCGGGAAGGCCAGCACCAGGCCCACCTGGACATGGAGAGAACGTCAGCACAGGCCTCTCCCCAGGCCACGCACCTCTGTGCTCTTCCTGGGATCTTAGCCCTCCACTTAAACTTAAGACGGACGAGGGGACCCTGAGACCCACCAGGACCAGCTCAATGACTGGCTGGGGCTGCAGGGGCCTGGAGGGCCTGTTACTATCACTTCATTCATCCAGTGGGTCCCCTATGAACAGACTACTGGTAATGATAAAAAATCGTATGTGAAATCCTTGCATTTTCTTAACACTTATTTTTCTGTGTATGCACCCTAGGGTGTGGGGATCAGAGGACGTGACCTCCATGTTTGAGCTGTGGAACACACATCCCAAATAAATGTTGTTGTTGTTTAA